CCAGGTGCTTACCACAGTCCGACAGTTCCGATTTGCTGTTGCAAACACCACCTGTGGTCTGTCAGGCAGATCACATCCTGGGAGTGTAGTGCGCTCTGTGAAGTGGAGATGAGCAGAACATGGAGGAAAGAGAGACAGATAGGAAATTAAACCACCTGGGCATTTAAACAAGCACAGGAAAGTCCATGCTGCTGCTCATTTTTTTGCCATGTTATTATGTACACAAGGAGTGGTGATGATGATGAATGTGATGATGATAATTATTCATTCTGTTATTAATGGCAGGTGCAATGAATTTGACATCCTTTTGTTTGTTTTATTTTTTTGGCCAAAAAAATAAGATTAAGGCTAGGTTAGCCAGATATTGTGTCTTTTACCAATATCTCCCTGTTAAAAAAAACTTTCCCGTTCGATGGTTTATTTAGGTTTTAGTGTGAAGGTAACCCTTACTGGTGGTTTAAGAGAAGGACTGATTGAAATAAAGGTACTGTATAAGTCTAGCTCTTCCAGACTAATTTGCTCTGTTATAGAGTAGTAGCTCATGGTCCAGCTTGTTTCCCAGACAGTCTTGGCACTGCTCACAAACTGGTCATATGTTTGTCCTGCAATTAAAATTATGACTATTATGAGGTAAAATGAAGCATATTATTTGTAATGATTGTAGTCTTCTAAGAATGTTCTCTTAAAGCCAGAATGAAAGATTGAAATAACAACATTCTGACTGGATTAAAGGTTGGATATTATGAATCTAGTAGAGGGCAATTTTTTTTCTGCCGTAATTTTCTTTTAATCTTTGGAAAACTGCCATCAAATACCAAGATCATACTCTGACACAAGTAAGTGGGTCAGAGTGGTTTGATTTGGGTAATACAGTAGGTTTCATTTCATGAATATACAGGGATAGAGGGAATCATTCTTTACATTCTAGTGTTTGTCTAATCTTTGCATATCATCTGCAACTATATAATTAGGCTATTTTTTTCCATCAGTTCATGGAGTATGTCTCTGCAGGCTCTGTTCCACTTCAGTGCTGTTGAAAGACTTGAAAAGTAAAAGAAACACCTATATGTCAAGCATGTCAGCGGGGATGTTGTACCTGTAAATCTTGCTAGCACTATGTTGTCAAATGTTCTCCTTTATTTACATACTGTACAGCCCTATGGCATTTGCCCTGGGTGGGTGCTGTATAGAGCTGACTAACAAATTGGGGATTGGCAGAAAATTGTTTTTCAATTTTCAGGTATACTGTACATTCTGGCTACTTAAAAAACAACAAACAACCCTAGATTACATTTCAGTGTCCTTCCCGTGAAAATTAAATGTGAGAATACCTGGGCTTATGACAATACATGCAAAATACAGTATACAAGCTAATTTAGAACCATCTCTAGTTTTAACTTTAATGCTCCTTTCAAAAAAATTTTTCTGTAGATGGAATGAGAAACTGTTTTTTAAGGAATTCCTTTGATATCAATAATCTATTATAAATAAAGAGGCATGCAGTCATTCATACTAAGTGTATTCATCTAATTGTACCCTAACAATTCAAGTGCATAATTCCAGTGGGCACGTTCTTTCTATTTTATTGTGAAGAGCACTTTCTAAAGAAAGTAGCACGCTTCTTGTGTATGAATTGAATAAACATGTTATCATATGAGGCTTATCCATATGTTTTAGTAATCGCCGTGGAAAATAACGATTTGAGGAGTTTATCTTAAGTGCAAGATCATTATGTGAAAGTGTTATTATTTCGTTTTAAAAATGTATATGAAATTATGTCTTTTGTTGAGACAGATGTTCTACCTTAATTTGCAATGGAGCCTTATGCTTATGGAACCCTTATAAATACACATAGTAAAAGTGATTTGTTATGAAAAACTTAAATTTCTAAAAAACAGAAATTAAAAAAAAAGAACTAAACATTAGTCTCTTTACAGGTAAATGTATACTGTACAGTGTGTCCTGTTACAGGCTCATATATTTGTGTGTTCTGACAATTCTATGAGCTAAATCCACCCTGATTTTTTTACATTGCAACAAAACTTAATTTGTAAAAGTATGTTTTTTTTAGTGATTGAAGCCTTTTTTTTTAAGGGCAATTAAAGTTTAAAGACCCCACAGAATAGCAAAAATGCTAGTAATATTGCCATTATTATTCCCTTACCAGGAATAAGAGGTTCTGTTTTGTTCATTGCATGAATTAATCATTGTTACCAGGCTTGTGCTTTTGAGTTATAAACAATGGTATTTTGAAATTGGGTCTTTGTAGGACAAATGAAGTGAAGCCTGTTAGATTACTTTTCTTTACTCAGGAATCAATGTGATCTTCTGCTTGGAAATTAATTATCATGGCATGGCATACGATCTTTGGATAAGTACCACATTAGTCTGCAGAGAGTCAAATAAAGGTCAGACTCATTTCTATGTGGATACACAGGTTTCTTAATGTCATTGTAGAACATGAACCCGCAAACTAGTGACTCAATAAAAACAGGTGACTAATTTTTGTTACTTTGATGTAGTGCAACTGGTCTTAACAATGTGTAGTTTGTGATTGTCAAGGTATTATTACATGTAAGGCCTTTACATGTAATAATACCCACTTTTTATTACAGGAAAGGAACAATTACTTTACTGCCTTACAAGTTCAAGCTTGTAAATTTACACCCCCTTCTGTGTCTATTTACCTGCCTGTCTTTTCAGTCCAGCAACACATCTATTTATGAACATACCGGTTAGTTTGAAATAAACGTGAAAAGGAATTTCATTATCTGTATCTTTTTTAAGTGTTTCATATGACTATATATAGTACCCATCCCTCTAATCTATCAAGATCAGCAAAAAGATTTGTTTTTTAAATTAGGTCTCGGATTTTCTTGTTTCTTGATACATAATGTATGTAACTATGCATTAAGACTTTGCATTTAGCAAATATAATCTAGAATTTTACTTTTCTTGATATAATTGTGCAGCTAACAAATGCTAATTTATTTACTGCATTTATTTTGATTTTAATATTTCGATACTGTATAAGGATAACATTTGAGATGTCACTTTTAATTTGGAAAGAAGTACAGTAATTATCATTGTTTACATTCCTTATGTGCACAGAAACTAAAAATCTTTGTGATTCCTTTTTATTGTACATTTTTTTCATGTATTTCAAAAATGAAAGTTGCTTCTTATAATATACTTTTGCCTGTGTGAATTTCTCAGACTCCCATGTGAATAAAATACAAGGTCCAATTGCCATACAAGACTAAGAATGTAATCTCTTTTGAGTTGAACGGTCACTTGAAATCAATCAATAGTTCTTGTCTTCACTATGTCTCCACTAGACTGTACCAGCAGTCAGAGTTCTGGAGCTCAGTCTGAATTCATCTGAGAATATAACAGTCTTTCAGGCATCTGTATGCTTGTCAGTCATGCCCAATAGTTTTGCCTCTGGTAAATTGAGACTAACTCACGCTATTACATTTTGTTCCTTTGAAATGTACATAGAGAATACATAACAGAGCTTGTGTGAGTGTGTTAAATATGCATTTAATGTTCTGCCACATAAACAGGACATTAAATGCACATTTTTAAATGTGATATCAACATCACACTGTATTTTTACACATCCAGTATGATTAGCTAACGTTAATAAAAACAGTGCTTTAGACTGATTCTACGGGTGATTTAAACTGTTAAGCTTAACTTTAAAACTCGCTTGGAATGACTGTAATCGTTACAGTTCATTATTATCAGATAATTATATCCATTGGATATTATATCCATTGTAATTATCCAGTAGTTGATGTGTTAATTACTTAATTATTCTTAAGATCACTTACTGGGTGTTGTGGGAGTAGAGCACAGGCTATCCTGCCATGTTGAAGAAATGGTTGAATGTGAATGTTATAAATTCACTACTAACTACAAAGCTAGATGGGCCAAATGGCTGGATCCTCTCATTTGTAACCTTTTTTATGTACTTACTTGACGGTAGAGTGGCATGTGCCTTACAGCTCTTGGAACGAACACATTCTGTGTATATTTTGCTTCTTCTCACTGTGTCTACTGTATGTGTGCTTTTTCAGGAAACTTTGGTTCTTCCCTCTTTCTAAACACATGCTGGTTAATCGGGGTCTCTAAACTGCGCGTGTGTGGTGTGGCAGGGTTCCCCGTGAGAGAGATTTACCTAGAGGGTGTGGGAGAATGGGACAAGATACACAGCCATGTTGTTGAAGCTGATACCTGGGCTTCTTTCAAGAAGCAGCTGGATCAGATCCTTTCTTCAATTAGCTAGTAACTACCACACGAGCTACAGTGAATGGGCTTAATGGCCTCTTCTAATTTGTAAGCTTTCCTGTGTTTTTATGTTATAGCAACGAGTATGGGATCACCACTGTCTCCCCCTGAGCACACGGACTCTAGGAATGCATCTGTCAGTAATTCTCAATTTAGAGTGTACTGTGTATATGGTATATACAGTATAGTACAACAGGACACTAATTGTCCTGATGCATTGACTGGAACAGGAATACTGTCCGATGGACTTCATTTGTATAAAAGGATGTGCCACAGAGTTTAAAGAGGGATGCTGGGGATAAGGGTTTATGTAGGAGCCTGCGGAGTGGTCAGCTAAATTTCATTGCAAAACTATTTAGTTGAAGAAAGTTGTGAATAAAGCCAGATTTTAGATTGACATCGGCGTAGAACTGAAGTTTTCATGTGCGCATGCCCTTGAGCTACAGTATGTTTTCTACCAAAGAAAGAGATCATTCATAGCATGCGTGTAATGGGTAAAGGACTGGCATAGCATTCGGGGTGTAATCCCATTTTGTGCCCTAAGGCTCTGGGATTTACCACAACCCAGAAGAAGTGGCTTTCTGTTCAGGAATGCCTGGATCAATCTCACTGAAGTTAGCTAAAAGTGTGTTGTATAATTTCTGCTTCAGCAAAACATTTTTGAAGCTTCAGTCTGCATATCGAAATCACTGTTTGTGCTTTTATAGGACCTGGGAGGTGGCAGCCCTCCACAGAGGAACTGGAAAGGAATTGCTATCGCACTGCTGGTCATTCTCGTGGTCTGCTCCCTCATTACCATGTCGGTCATACTGCTCACCCCAGGTAAGAAGGATGTTATCACAATGCTTAGCGTCACATCACTAGTGTTGTTATTTTTTATTAAATTTACTGTGTATATACTGTACGACTCAGTGATTGGAGAACCACGTAATGAGCTATGGATTAGCTGATGTGTGAAAAACAACTCTGTAATAACCATTTCGCCATTACTGTTCTGTGTTGATTACTGCAATCATATTGGGTTTCTAATCAGTTCAACAGCACATTGTTTCATCTCTGTGTGTGCTTGGGGAGGGGTTGTCTAAATATGGGAGTAAACCTAAAACACTAAAGAGAACTGTTGCCATCATATTACAATACTGCTGTGAAACATCAGTTACAGCTTTGTCAACATGCATTTTTGATTTTCAAAAATAGAAGCATTAAGCATGAGTTAATGTATAAGGTAATTCAAAATAATATACAGTAGCTTCCCATTGGGCTTACTTGCTTATCTATCTGTCTTATGAGAAACACCTTTCAGGGTTATGGTGTGTTTTAAGAGCGAGCAGGTCATTAATTATTCTCTGGAAGCTCTGGAAGTTTCACTGGAAAGCAACAACATTTAAAGAGACTTCGATTTTCTCATTACATATACCAGTATGTTTCTTGTAGCACACACATAGTATATATTTCTGTTTTACTGGTGAAATCTACAGTAGCAAATTTGTATACTAATTAATCAATCGGAATTGGAAGTCATTTAGACAGTTCTGTCACCCAAGCACTGTGATACAACAGAAACTATCAGACCACCATAACGCTGGAGCACTCCTATTGAGACACCTATGACAGAAGTTAAGAATCTCGAGAAAGAAAACAAAGCACATAACTTCGAAGCAAGGACTTTAGATTTGTGCTGTTGATGCTTAGTACAGTAGGTCAGACCCATACCCCAGGCTAGAG